AGTATAACAAGATGGCCTCACTTATGCTCACTTACACGGGAATCAACCTCAAGGCCAAAATAAAAGTCCTCAAGAAGTGGTTAAGGCTAACTTTTTATATGTAAAACTTTATAAATATGTAAAACCATATAAATATATGTAAAACCTTATAGCTATTATATCTACTTTCTTTAGCACTTTTGGTATCCTCTGTGAGCTCTGTGTCACAATAACTAATGAAAAGATTACCCATGATTAGGTCCTAGACTGTAGCCATGCTCCAGCATTGAAGTGATGCTTCTTGCGGCATGACTTCTCTGAGCTGGATTATGGATTTATGTCATGAGTGGCTGACATGGGATATTCAGTCGGCTGCTATCCGGTGAGCTGGAGGATCCCAAGCCAAGCCGGAATGTGCTTTGGCGTCACCTCGGGCAGTACTGCGCAGCCATAACAACAGGCCAAGCAGCCTGCCAGAGGGCAGGGAAGAATGAGTGCTAGGGCCTCTGGCAAATTGTGAGGCAGAGAAGTGGAGGCCCCAACATCATGGTTCACTGCAGGGAGCAGTTGCCACTTTGAAATCATCCTTTGTTTGCTCCTGAAGAAATGGACTTCAGTATTTGTCCATCTACCCAGAGAGCAATCTGGGTAAGTAGGTCCTCTTCAAAGAGTAAAGCCCCCAAGGATGTCCTCCTTGCTCTTTTGCTCTTTCAATTTTTAACTGTCATCTCTTCATCCTCAAGTCCTCTCCCTTGTGGCCTCCTTCTCAGCATTCACTTGCATCTCTTTAAATAGAAATAAATCACTTGGCAGAAAACAGGCTTCTCACTGGTAGCTAATGAGACTCAACTACCATTCTGTCCCTCTCTCATCCTGCAGGAGGGACTGAGCAGCTTGTTGCTTCTAAGTTTTCTTCACCTCCCCTATTGTGATCTTAATTTCACAAGCCCTTACAACCTTTTTGCGTTTCAGAAACTCTGACCGGTGGTTCGCTTCCTTGGAGATTTTTGACATTTGGTTGCTTATGATGTTAGTAGCCTTCCTTTAACCCAGGGTGTATTTTATTTTTGCAGTTACATTCTTACTGTGGACTCGAGCAGTGATGCAGAATTGGAGTCCTGTAAGTAGAGTTCACTCAAAGCTGTAATTTAAATTTTAAAGTGTAATTTAACCATGTCTTTGTAGAGATGACTGAAATGTGATTTGGGACATTGGGTGTAAGCTGGTCCTAGGTTTGTCTCCTCTCGGGCTCTCTCTAGATTGGTGAAATGGAGTTTATTTCCCTATTGTTAAGGGCAGAGGAAGTTCTCTGTGCTTCTTTTCTAATTTGCTTCCTTTACCTTTTTCATTCTAGGTCTCCCTACTTTTATTTCCTCTCTCTATCTCACGGGGGATGTAAGAGTCCACCATGAATTTTAACCAGCTCTAACTTATGGACTTTGGTTTTAGGGAGTTAAAGACATGGTAACCAGATTTTATCATGCTTCAGATGCTTTCTGATGCCCTCTTTCTTTCTCTGATTTAGTTGTGGCCAGAAGGAGCATTCAAAAAGAGAACACCAGGTAAGTGGGAGAATTAGTGAAAATTGATTTTTCTTTAAGGAATGATGTTCTGGGTAAGAAGATTTAAGAATAAACCATCACTTTTCCTCTGTGAACGCTATGTTCAGGGTGATAATGGGTGTTTGATCTCACAACCAGGTTCAAAATACTAGGTTCCTTATCCCTGGCCCATTATCTAATTGGTCAGTTTCTTCTTCAAAATGTCTCTGTGAACCATCTCTTAACTTGCGGTCTCTGCTGCTTAGGCCCTTATCAGTTTTTACTCTTGTATTAGTACAGGAGCTTTTTTTTTTTTTTTTTTTTTTGGTGAGGAGATCAGCCCTGTGCTAACATCTGCCAATCCTCCTCTTTTTTTGCTGAGGAAGACTGGCCCTGGGCTAACATCTGTGCCCATCTTCCTCCACTTTATGTGGGACGCCGCCACAGCATGGCTTGCTAAGCGGTGCGTCAGTGCGCACCCAGGATCCGAACCGGCAAACCCCGGGCCGCTGCAGCGGAGCACGCGCACTTAACCGCTTGCGCCACCGGGCCGGCCCCCACAGGAGCTTTTTAAGTGGGCTTCCACCCTGATCTCTTCCTCCTCTGGTCCAGTCTGCATCCCATTCCCAGATTAATCTCCTGAGGCACTGCTTTGATCATATTGATCCCCTGTTCAACTTGCTTGTCATAGGAAAATCAAACTATTTAGCCCAGTAGTTAAAGTCCTCTGTGATCCGACCCTAACCTATCTTTCAGCATTATCTACTACTATTCCTATAAGGAGCCCTCTACTCTAGCCAGAGCTAGATGAAGGGTGTTGTGCGGGTGCCAAACTATAGGAGGTGCTAAAAAAATTACTGGAATAAATCTGAAATATGGTGCTAGACAGCTGTGGTTTCTACATCAACTCCTTGAATTACTGTGGAAATGTGAATTGGTCATTCTTGTTCCCTCATCAAGCCAAATAGTGCTGTCACGTGAGAAAACCTTTTTCTAGCTAGCTCTGATTTATCTCTGTTGATTATTTTGCAACATGTAAGCCACCAAGCCTGACACCAATGTGTGTGAAAAGTGACTTAAAGTTAGCAGTTGTACTCAGCTAAAATTCTAGAACCAAATAATGCATTGTGTAAAGCTATTTACTAGAAATGATTGGTTTTATTCTTTAAACTTTTTTGTTTGTGAGGAAGATTGTCACTGAGCTAATGTCTGTGCCATTCTTCCTTCATTTTGTATGTGGGACACTGCGACAGCATGGCTTGATGAGCGGTGTGTAGGTCCACGCCCGGGATCCGAACCCAGAGATCCCTGGGCTGTCGAAGCAGAGCGTGCAAACTTAACCACTATGCCACTGGGCTGGCCCCCTATTCTTTTATACTTTTAAAGTCAAGTTTATTGAGGTATGATTTACATACAGCAAAATTCACCCTTTTTAGGTGTACAGTTTGATGAATTCTGACAAATGTATATGGTAATGTAGCCATCACCACAATCAAAGATGCAGAATATTTCCATCACTGTCATTTACATTTTATAAGTGGTTTATCAAGGATCATTAGAAGTATTCTGGTTTATAATATTATACATAATAAATTGCTTATTTGGTAATAAATTAAAAAGTACAGTAGTCCCCCCTTATCCATGGGGAATATGTTCCAAGACCCCCAGTGGATGCCTGAAACCACAAATAGTACTGAACTCTATATATACTATGTTTTTTCCCATACATACATACCTATAATAAAGTTTAATTTGTAAATTAGGCACGATAAGAGATTAACAACAATAACTAATAATAAAATAGAACAATTATGACAATATACTGTAATAAAAGTTACTGCACATCCTAGCAACCTCAGCATATGATTCTTTTCTTTTCTTATTAAGTCAAGAACTTTCACATTTTCACTTAAAGGAAGCACCTTATGGCTTCTCTTTGGCATATCTGAATTGCCAGCATCACTACTCTTGCGCTTTGGGGCCATTATTAAGTAAAATAAGAGTTACTTGAACGTAGGCACTGCGATATCATAATAGTCGATCTGATAACCTAGACGGCTATTAAATGACTAACAGGAAGGTAGCATATACAGCATGGATATGCTGGACAAAGGGACGATTCATGTTCCGGGTGGGACGGCACGAGATTTCATCACATAATTCAGAATGACGTGCAATTTACAACTTATAAATTGTTTATTTCTGTAATTTTCCATATAATATTTTCAGACCATGATTGATGTGGGTAACTGAAACCATGGAAAGCAAAAGCGAAGATAAGGAGGGATTACTGTATCCAATTTTTAAATAGAAAAATTGGTTTCTTCCTGCCTTCACTAGATACATGTTGAACAAATATGTAAAGAAAATCCGTTTTAACGGGCCTGCCAGGAGTGCCCACAGATCTTGGTCTAGTCCCAGGTGGCTTCTATATATGGGATACTGAAGGAAGGGTGGATTTGGGAAAGAAGGTGATGAATTCAGTTTTGGACATGTTGAAATTGAGAGGCCTGTAGACAGGGCTGATATTCAAAACATTTAACAACCAACAGAGTACAAACAGGGATTAGTCAGGACGGCTGCCTGACTGGTCAGATGCCATCAATAAATGGTAAGGTTATTCCTGTGCATGCTGACTAAAAATTGACCCTACCCACAGGATATCCAGGAAGGAAGTTGAAACTGTGGAGCTAGAAGTCGGAAGAAAATTGGGCTAGGTATAACGGATTGGGCTGGCAGATAGATAATGCTTATCTATTCCTTAGTAATTGATTGGATTGGTATGAAAGGGCTGTAGATAAACCGTGGGAATGAGTTGAGAAAGAGAAGTGAGTGAGAAGGAGTGGATGGAAAGGTGAGAAGAGAATCAAAACAGAAAGGTATCCCGGAAATCAAGAAAAGAATTTTAAGGATAGAATGGTCAACAGGATAGCAAAGGCCCATCAACTTGGCAGCTTAGAAGTGGTGAATATGGTGGAAATGGATTAATGGATTTGTGTCTGTAACAGGTACAGACAAGTCCTCTAACAGTGTTTTAAATAGGTTTCTCACTCATTATAAAGGTATATCAGACTTATTGTACACTGTTTGGAAAATACAGAAAGGTGGCGAATTTCAACCTTCTGGAACCTCTGACCCAAATACAAGGGCTGGCCAAGAATGAGGGCCTCAGAGGGGTGTTCACCACCAGCACCCTGGGTGGCACAGGGGTACTGCTGAGGTTGACTCCTGCCAGAGCAGTCTGTCAATTAGAGAGGGTGGGGCTGGTTTCAGGCTGCAAAGAGTGGCGCCGAGGAGAAACTTCTCTGCTCTAAGGCTGCCTCTCTCCATCTGTGGCTCTCGACCCTTCCTAGGCAGCTGAATCTCAACATTGATAAAGAAAAATGGCAATTAACTAGACATTTCCCTAATCAGATTTCCCCTTGCACCAGACTGTTTGAATACATACCCTCTGAAAGTCCATTTCACTCTCAGTCCTTTTGAAAGGATTGAAACAGATGGAAAGATTCAGTAGAAAGATGGAAAAGATGAAAAATCAAAAATAATGATTTATTAGTTCCAAAGAAGGAGAACAGAGTTACTGCAGGAAACAAACCAACAGAGCATTTCTAAGTGACCATGCGCATTATAGAAAAGGAAGAAAATGCCAGGAAAAGAAGAATGTTGCATTCATGTTTCTCTTTTGTTTTTCCCTGTCTCATCACTCAGCTACGTGGTGATTGACTCAGACTCTGAGGATGAATACTTCCCTGAGGAACAGAGAGCTAAGATTTCCAAAATAAGTAGCAAAGGCAAGTATACTACTAACTGACAGAAGTAGCTGAGCTCTGCAGCCTCATCACACACAGTTGTTTCAGGATAAGAGTCAACAAACATTCTATTCTGAATCACGTAGTAGTGGGCGCCACCACTTCTTTCCTCATATGTGCTGGATGTGGATATGGCTGGATTCCCGACACCCCCTGGTAAATTTCCTAACACAGCAGCCACTGTTCCTGCTGCCTTAGACCATGGACAATCCCCCTCAGAAGAGTTCTGACCTACCTAGCACTACATCAAGGGAGCAGAGGGAAGAAAGCCAACAACTGAGACTGAGAAGTATGAAGGCTGCTCTGCTTCTCCCCGTTCAGCTCTTCTCCTCCTCCTCCATGTGTGGGAATGACAAAGAGGGGGAAAGAGGAGTAAGAGGCACAGGCTCATTCTTTCCAGCCTGATGGAGAGAGACTTCGGTGTGTGATGGTTGTGGGCCAGCAGGCAGTGACTTCTCAGGGGATTCCTTGCTTTCTCCATCTAGCTGTTTGTCTTTGCCTTTTGCTACTCCCTTTATGTTTTCTAGAGAGTCCTGTTTTTCTTGGGCCTGTTTCCCACAGCAGATCCTTGCCTCTTTTGATTCAGCAGCCCTTTTAATCTTTCAGGAGGTGTGGAGCTTTACTCGCAGTTCAGAACCTGCTCAGTGGATGTGAAATGTAGGAGGACTAGGAGTTTCTTAAGCATCAGGGATAGTATTTTATTGATCTTTGTTTGCTTAGTACCAGATATAGGGCATGATACATAGGCACCTAGTTAAAGTACTGGCACCCTTAAAACACTGGCTACTTCTTTGATAACTACTCAAGAGCTACCATTGGCTAGAGTTTCCTGGCTAACCTGGGATATCAGAGCAGGAAAAGGAGAGGTGGCTTGGAACCCTAGTCTCCTACTGTTTCATCACCTGTCCTCTCTAATTTCTTCTCTCCCTCCTTCTCTCTAGCTCTGAGAGGATTGCCTGAGCACGCTAGAGGTCCAGGTGCAGAGTAGGGGATATGACAGGGCAAGCTACTGTAATGCAAAGGGAGCCCCAAGGGAGGTAGCTTTAGAGTAGGGCATGAATGACAGGGCCCAAAACCAGTTCATCACTCTGGGCCGCCAGTTGCTGACTCCTTGAATCAGAAGATCCATAGTCTTTTGAGGATGAACTTTCAACTAAGGCTGCTCTTACGTCTCTGACCAGTGGACTCTAACTGTGGGCATCCATACCGGTAATGGAGGGATGAAGAATGCTCCCCCAGGACTGTCTTTGTATGTTTCTTTACTGTTCTCCACATATCATTTTTTTGTTGTTCTTATAATGAATTTAGGTAATTTTACAGAAAAAAAGGCCTGAGGAGCTTTAACACATACTTCCAACCTCACTTCTAACCTTTGTCAATGTAGTGTGTCTCTACTTTTTGTTTTTTATAATTTCAATTACAGGTGAGAAATCTTTAAATTTTCTAGGAAGGATGACTTTTTACCATAGGAACACCCACTCCTTTCTCTTTCCCTATTGTATATCTGAAGTTCTTTGATAATTAATTCAAATAATAGATGAGACTCTCAAAATATATTATCCCAAATCTGCAATTTTAGGATAAAGAGTTTTTGCATCATAAATATATTTTCACATCTTTCCTATGCTGTGGTTTATACTTTTTACATCCAGAATCATAGAAACCTAGAAGTTGAGCTCTGAACAGACTCCAGAAAGCGTGTGGTGTTAGACATGCTGCCCCTCGTTTCCAGATGGAGGGACCCTCATTGAGGGCGGTGACATTCCAGATGTTCCCTGGGCACCTAGCGCTGACATCAGGACTTAACTCCTCACTCTTATATCAGTGGTTCTGAGAGCTTTGCACTTATGGACTAGTTAGAAAATTAAATTTTGGTGGCTAATGTAGAGTTGCCGATTTTTAATTTGTCTACTGATGGAAGTAAATTCTAACTACCATCTACTAGCACCATAATTTCTTAAAGTGCACCAAAAGTTTAGTGAAGACATAATTGCAAAATAAAGGACAGTCCTTTAAATCATAAAAATTGAACTTGATGGGAAAAAACTTCACTTTATTATTCTAGTTTCTTTTATTTTTCTGTGGACCAGTGACAATATAAAAGTCTGCAGACGCATGTTTGGGAACCACTGAGCACCTACACTGTGCTGCTTAGAGAATGTAATTTGAAAATTGCCACTGGACTTGGATTGTAGTTTTATCTGTCACTGCTCTCAGTAAAATAAGAAAGTATTTGGGTGGTGAACATGATGTAATCTATGCAGAAATAGAAGTATAATGATGTACACCTGAAATTTATACAATGTTATAAACCAATGTTACTGCAATAAATAAAAAATTAAAAAAAAAAGAAAGTAATAGAGGGAAAACCATCAAAAATAACTGATTCTTAACTGTGATTCATAATGTTGCAGTTCATGGCTTGTTTAATTTGTGCTCAATAATCTGAAGTTGAATGCATAAGAGTGGGTGGAGGGAGTATAATTATATGTGATTGTGTCTCTTGAATTTCAGATGAGATTCTGGAAGTGTTATCTGATACTGATGAGCAGCCTACCACACAGGAACCTCTGATACTTGTTATTGATGATGATGAGAGTAATGATGTGGAGGGCCCTGTAATAATAGAAGACGATTCATGTGATCAGGGCCAAATTTCCTCAAATGAAAAAGAGATGGATGAGTTGCTTGTCTCCCAACGCAATTCATCTGGTGATGTTGGTGAGCAGAATGTTGGTGAAAATTTTGGCCAACCACTGAATGATCGTGAGGCTAACCTAGAGATTTCAGGTAGAAAATTGTCATCTGATGAAGAGCCTGCACCTGTGGTGGAGCAACCACGGAAAAAGAAAAATAAAACCAAAAATTTATCTATGACACCTGGTAAGCCAATCAAACCAAGTATGGTTGTCCCCCCGAATATGCTAGCCTGCCAAGTGTGCCAGCCATGCCTGCCATGCCCTTTTCCCTGGATATGTCTATCTTGTCGTGTCTGCCTGTCCTGCCTATCAATTCTATGGTATTTCAGCAGCTTCCTAGTGGCCAAGGGAGGCAGCCATCCCAGTGAAAAGGGTCTTTCTGGGAATAGGAGAGGAATGCCCATGTCTTAGTATTTGCCATTCCATCCACCTTTCTCCCTGCACTTTTTGTCCTGAGGATATCCCATTTTCCTTAGGACCCAGCCAAATTGTCACTTCTGTAAGAAGCCATAAGTCAGAGTTGCTCCTCCCTCCTGGGTTCCCAAAGTTCTTAGACTCCGTCTCTACTAAAGCACTTACACAACTGTGTTGGAATATGTTTCTGAATCTGTCCTCCCAGTAGACGGTGAGCCTCTTGATGGGAAGACTTGTTACTCATCTTTTAGTCTCTCCCAGGGTCTAGCTGGTGTTTAGCATGTAATAGATGTTTAATAACTTTTTAAAATAAATGAATGATTGACACTACTGATACATGTCTCTGGCTAGAGCAACCAGCAGTATGGGTGCTGGACAAAGGTGGAAAGATTTGGCTTGCATATTGGGTGAAGGTGCTGCCTAGGATATGAGCCACTTTCCTCGGAGCAAGTGTGTGAGCTATGCCATACCAGTCCTTATACTGCACGTGCCTCAGTTTCCCCCACATTCTAACCTCCAATGGCATGCTCATGTAACCTCTACGGTCCTCCATACCTACGACAGAATCCTATCCAGCTTACTCAGCTGGCAGCTGTGATTCACAGAGGCAGAACTTTTCACACTGACTGATGGAGCAGTATGCAGGCTTCAGACAGACAGTTTCCGTTTATAGACGTTGCTTTGGGTTTGGCTGTGGGGGCTCCTCCTTGGTTTAGCTTTCTGCCGGTTGGTTGATGGTACCAGTTTTCAGGGTACAAATGAACTGTTATCTTTTCAGCTGTTAGAGGACAAAAAAGGCGTGGGCCTTCAGAGAAGAAACCCAGTGCAGCAAAATTTGAAAAATGTGGAACTGGGTATGTACAACTGAACGGGAATTGATTGCACAATTATCACATGTTAAGCAGTCCACTGGGCGTGCAGGGGTGTCTTCAGGGGGATGAAGGAGTCTGGTGGGGGAGGGGAACAGGGTTTCCATCCCTGAACTGAAAGGGTAGAAGCAGGAGGCGGAGACACCCTGCCACTCCCCTCTTCCCGGTCCCCCAGCAGAGTCGGGCGTGGGAGCTCTGCAAAGATCCCTGCAGGGCAGACTGGAGCCCTTTTGCCCCCATAGCAGCTCTGGCCTCTTAGGTTTCCTTTGTCCTTAAACTCAGATTAAAGAATGATGTGTAGCCAAACAAGATACTTTTTTTTTCAGGCTAGATACAGCCTCATGGCCACCAGTTTGCACTAAACCAAAGCAAACGCAGTGAAAATGGTGAGAAGGCAGAACCGACATCCTGTTCCAATCCACTGGAATTGGAGGGAGGGCAGCCAAGACTGTCTGCCAGGTTTTTCTAGCGCTTTCAATGAACCCAGTTACTCTGACTACTTGTATATCTTCTTGTGAACTTTTCAAGCTTTATTAAACATTAGGGTGAAATAGATTGCTTGTAGTTCCTTTATTTTTATTAAACTGTATATAATTGATACTGAAAACAACAGGTCATTTAGACCAAAGACATACTAATACTTTAAGGAAGCAAAAAACTAACACATTTTCTCATTTAGATTCCACGAACTTCTCAATTTTCCCTTAAAAATATGATGTAGTAAGCATAATTTTCTTTGTTTTCACTTGCATTCAGGAGTAATATATACTTACATCTTAATTATCTTACAAGAGAAGGAATATATTTGAAGGACTGTATGTTTATTTTTTTACCTGTATTTTGGGACAATAAATGCATCTTAAGGAGAGAAGGAGAATGATGTCTCAGGCATTGGGGCAACAGAGCGACGTGGACCCAAGCAGAGGCTCTCTCTGTTTCTGCACTTCTTGCTGGGTGAGGGAGCCGACAGCAGTTTGGCGTGTTCTCTCTTAGATGGATCCCCTTTCAGCAGAGTTTTTTCTCTGGAAATCTAGGTACATATTTAAGCTGCTTTGCCTATAGGGACACGTGTCTTGGGTAGCTCTCAGGTTGCTTTGCCAGAGAGTGTGACAAAAGAAGGAAGAAGCTGTCCCTTTGTGTCTTTGTCCTCTGCATCATCCAAAGGAGGCTAGCCTGTTTGGACCCCTCACTGTTGCCTTGGTACTTCCTGTTTCAGTCTGTAGCCTTCCTATTGTGCTTAGCATTGTTCCTGTGTAGGGTGCTTGCTGGTCATGGTGTCTGATGTACCCATTTGGTGTCTTGTTGGTTCCTCTGATGTGGAGATGCTCAGCCTGCAGTAATAGCACAGACATTGAGGTGAAGGTATGCTAAGCCACAAGGCCTGCTTGACGTGAGCACAAACACACGTAAGGGTCATGTTCTCCGCTGAGATCTGCAGATGGTTTGAGTTTTCATCTGTCACCTTTTATGATGCAAATTTGCTTTCAGAACTAAGTAATTTGAGGCAGAAATGTTCATCACCTGTATCAGGCTTTGGGATGAAGACCTTTTAGCTGTCTTTGCCTTGTCTGGTACTTTTCCCCTCTGCTCACCCCGGCCACCTCACATAGGGTTTATTTTGTGATTTAACGGTTAATGAGTGTCCTGGCAAAACCTCAGTCTCAGGAGTTCTGTTAAGTCAGAAACTCATTTCCCTGTGTTGGCTTCTGTTTTATCTTTCCAGCTCTGTGGGCTCATCTCTTTGGACTTGTGAATTGTCCCAGCCAAGATAAAAATGCTTCAGTTTAAATAAATAGTTATCACAAGTGTGAGTCCTTTATGTGTTCACCACTGTTCTTTGTGCATTTGAATTAAGCCTTGACAGATGGGGTAGCAATAGTGGTCTAATGGAAAGACCAGGGGATTCAGTGTCTCTGTGAACTCTGGGTAAGTCACTTAACCTCTGAGCTTCAGTTTCCTCATCTGCACACTGGAGATAATAAGAATAGGAATAGCTTCTTTGGAGGGTGGTTGTGAGGATTAAATATGATAATGCAAAAGGAAGTTCTTTGCAAATGATAAAGCACTACACAGATGGTTGTTCTCGGTAGAGGTGGAGATGTCATTCTAGGCCATGGCAAATGGGTTGTGCCAAGGCATGAATGAACTGGGGGGAAATCACAGTTAGTGTCCAGGGAACGTTTAGGTTGCCCACTTTGGCCAGAGGGGAAATAGACGTTGGGACCAGATTTATCTGGGCCTTGAATGCCAGGCCAGGCAGTCAGTGAAAAGCCAGAGAGGGACATAATTGGAACATGGCCAAGGAAAATTAATCTGGAGGTGTGTGTGGTTGGATTAGAATAAAAAGAGCCCTGAGGTAAGGAACACAGAGGAATGTGGTAGTATCAAGGCAGAAAGGGGAGGACAGGAACTTGATCTAGGGTGCTGACAGTGGGGTGGAGAGGAGGGGCTGGATGGAAGAGACGATGTAAAGGAGATAATGGTCGGTTTTTGTGCCTAATTCAATATAGGGTAAGGGAGAAATGAATTAAAAATATCTCTGAGGGGGCTGGTCTGGTGGCATAGCGGTTAAGTTCACGTGTTCCACTTTGGCGGCCCAAGGTTCGCGGTTTGGATCCTGAGCGTGGACCTACTCACCGCTCATCAAGCCGTGCTGAGGCAGTGTCCCACACAGAGCAACTAGAAGGATGTACAACTATGACGTACAACTATCTACTGGGGCTTTGGGGAGAAAAAGGGAAAAAAAGGAGGAAGATTGGCAACAGATGTTAGCTCAGGGCCCATCTTCCCTCAAAAAAATAAAAAAACAAAGAAAATGTCTCTGAGGTTTTTGACCTGTTATAACAGAAGTTGGATCATTAAACACATTGAACTGGAGACATGCTCATGTTACTCAGTTGGAAATTTGCATCGGACAATTGTAAACTCAGAACTACATCTCAGGAGAGAGATTGAGACTGCGGATACAGATGTGGGATCACTCCTGTTGAGGTTGAAACCATAGGCTTCACATCTCTGAGAATGTGCAAAGAGTGAAGGGAAAAAGGCTATGAATGGAACCTTGGGAAATGCCCTCATGTAAGGAGCTGGAAGGAAGAGGGACCAGCAAGTTTCCCAAGTCTCTCTTGACATGAGCTGTATGTATGCATTTCTTCTATTTATTTCTTTAGCTCTATAAAACTCAGTTGAATTTGCCTTTGCAGGAATGCTATGTGCAAAATACCTGGATGTTTCTTGCGTGACCTGGAAAACTCAAAGCAGTATTCCGGAAGGAAGTTCAAGCAAAATAAGGATGAATTGGTGCAGAGAATCTACACCCTGTTGAACAGTTCTGTTTTTCATAAAAAGGTAGTCACTGAATAAGCACTCATGGAACACCAGCTCTGTGCCCAGCACTCTTGGGTGCTGTGGGGTGTGCAGATGTTCTAACTGTGTATTTCCTGCCCTTGAGAAGTGTCAGTTTAGATGCGGAGATGAGACATGCGTACGTGAAAGAAATAGAGAATGTTTGTGGGTTAGAATATATGGTACAGACTGTCACTACCACAGGAGATCAGCAGAGGGAGAAATCACTGACAGCCTAAGTGGCCAGGAAATAGGATTGCCTGGAGGAAGTGAGACTTGTTCTGGTTCTTGCAGGATGGTAAGTGCAGAGAACAACAGTTTTGGGGGAGAGGGCATGTGTTGAGGCTTGATTATCTGGAAGAGAGGGTTCATGTTGAAGAATAATGGGAAGGAGCTATGTGACCTTGGGTAAGTTACTTACTCCTATGCCTCAGTTTCCTCATCTGTAAAATGGGGACGATAATAGTACTTACTACTTCGTAGAATTATTGTCAGGCCTAGGTAAGTTAACACACCTAACGTGCCTGGAACAGGGCCTACGACATGGTAAGCAATACATGTTAGCTATTTTTTTTTTTGATAGCATAGGACTAGATAATGGAGGCCCATGGGATCAGGTTGGAGGAGCTTAAATTGAAATCAGTAGGCACCACTGCATGGGGATATGATGTGACATGAAATGGCTGCTGAAAGAAATCAATTTGTCAGAAGCATGGGGGTGTAGACTGGATTGGAGAGAATCTGGAAGCAGAGAGACCCGGTGGTCATTAGGTTTTGCAGACTTTGTCTCTAGTGACAAAACTTCCTGCAGGGAAAGTTCTTATATCTTTCTAAAGGTTCCCCAGCCTTTGATGCCCTTCCTGATGACAGTGGTGTTATATCAGGTGACTCTGATTAGGGGAACCTGAGTGTTCTGAGTTGCATGTTCCATTTTGCCTCATGGCTCTTATGCACAGGTTTCCGTCTCCTACCTCAGCAGGCTTGTACTTCTCTCCTCAGCTGCCCCTGACCTTTGTCTCCATGCAAGGGAGCACAAATCCTGCAGTCACCTGCTCTCAACAATCTCCCTTGTGTCCTGACTGCCTGTTAATTGTCTTAACTTGGGCTTCAACTTAGCTTTTATTCTCCCCAGAATGTTTAGATTTGCAAAACTCTTGAGTTACTGTTTTTTGGTCTGCTTAGAACTGCTTTCTGATTCACTGTTTTTCATTCTCAGCTGCCGGAGAAAATAGATATCAGCTGGAATAAAAAGATGCTGAGAACTGCTGGCTTATGCACCACTGGCGAGACACAGCACCCGAAGAGGGAGCGTTATGCTAAGATTGAGATTTCTCTGAAAGTCTGTGACTCTGCAGGTGAAGGCAGGAGCATGGAAGCTGTCCCACTGTGCTCTTTCCTTCTGACACAGCGCCTGTTAAGTTATTCTCAGGTGCTGGTATTCTCTGGCAGCCTCTGTCACAGCTTTACCTGTCGTTCCTGGGGGAACAGGCCTACCGTGTGTTGCTCAGAGGACCTTATAATTGGATGTCTCACCATCGCTGAGAAGCCAACTCATCTATCTTTCTCCTAGGCCTAACTTTCTCTCTGTAGCTCTCTGTTGTCAGTGGCAGTATCTCCATTCTTCTAGTAACTGAGATTCAAGGTCCCCAGTCTCTAGCCAATCACCAGATCTTCATAATGACTCTCCTATCATCATTCCTTTTCCATCTTTGCCTCTGCCCAGGTATGGGCCCACCTCGCTCTTTTCCCTGCTCTGCTCAGTCTCCTGCACCCCTCTGCATTGCTTTCCTGCTGAGAAACCTAGGGCTGGCCAGTGCCTGGAGCCTGGCTTTCAAGGCTGTCGTAGTCTGCCCCCACTCCGCTTGGCAGGTCTTGCCTCTCACTACTCCACCGCTAGCCTGTGCTCCAACGAGGCTTTCTTCACACTGGCTTTCAAAATGTACCACATGCCTTCCTGGCCCCAACCTTTGCTCATATTTTTCACCACACCTAGAATGGGCTTTCTAATTTTGTAAATCCCAGCAATTGTTAAGGACCCAGCTCAGATCCCAGTTTCTCCATGGAACTTCTCTTGACCAAATCCCATGGCCATGGTGATTGTTCCCCACCCTGTCCACTTATGTTCTTGGAGAGCGGAAACCAGGTCTTGGCTGGATGTGTTTCTAGCAGCATCTCACAAAAAGATGAGCACGTTGGACCTGCTCCAAAAAGACTTGCTCATCTAAGGCTCTCTGCCATTAACAAAATTGGGTTGAAGTAGGCAGAAATTTCAGGTTTACCATCCTGGGAAGATAACACTCATGCTTGCCGGCATATGCTTATATAAGATGGCATTGTGTCTGGTGGGATTGAGAGTCCAGGGGTGGTTGGGTAGCAGACCAGAAGGGAATCTATTTAAGTGCTCATGATTTCTTTTCATTCCTCTTCCAAGACCGACTCCGGGATACTTTGGTCCATGAAATATGCCACGCAGCCTCCTGGCTGCTCGATGGTATCCGTGATTCTCATGGGGATGCATGGAAGTATTATGCCAAAAAATCTAACATGGTGCACCCGGAGCTGCCCAGGGTCACCCGTTGCCATAACTACAAGATTAACTACAGGATTTATTATGAATGTTCTCAGTGCAAATCCAGGTAAGACCCTTCTCCTCAGACTTTTTCCAATTATGTTTTTACTACAGCCTCCAAGTAGCTTTTCAGTGATTTTTATTAGTAAGTACATGGCTATCTGACTTGAGGAGCAAAACCTCTCTACTCCTTTCCATGTCCTCTTTCTCCATTCTCTCCTGCTTTGAGCTGGCCTGACCACTGCCACTGCCTAGTGCCCTATTCTCTGAGAACCCCCTTGGGCTTTGGGCCCAAGACCAGCAGCTCAGAGAAGATGCTGAGGTACAGTGACTGATTCCTTTGCTGTGTGGTGTCTCTTTCCTCGTTAGGGTCGGCCGCTACACCAGATCGTTGAACACCGAACGCTTTATCTGTGCCATTTGCAAGGGACCTCTGGTCATGCTGCCATTAACTCGGAAAGATGGAACTCCCATCGAGCCTCATGTGAGACCTTTTGCTAAGTATGTGCAGCAGTATTACACATTAGTTCAGGGGGAGACAGCAGGGATAAGCCATGGGGATGTGATGAAAAAGCTTGGCAAGGATTATGTTGCCAAGAAACAAAGGCAAGATCGTTGAGGTTATCTGAGAGTGCGTTTGTGTGAGCAGAGTCCTCTGCTGGTAAAGAAGTTTTAGAAAAATATCTTTGTTTCTATGAATATTAGAATTTAAATCATTTTTAAAGCTTCATGTTGTTAATGACGATTGTTCTTAACCAAGGGTTCTATTGCTAACCGTTCTGTGCCCCTGACAGTACTCAGAAGCCCTGTGGATCCACCTTGGGTTTAACTTAGACTCCATATTTTAAGGTGTAGAACAAAATGCAAAAGAGAAATGAGTTTTCGAGAGTGGTGCATTGAGAGAATGAGGGTAATACTGGAAAGAGAACAAATTTTAAAGGCAGCACTTCAAAACCAGGGCTGCTGGCAGATGTAACCTGTTTCCTCTACCTAGGAGTAAAAGACAAACACCTTTTATGAAGTAGTTGCTCTTGACATTGAAGCCATCTGAGCCAGTGTAATTGCTCATGAAATAAAACAAATAAAATAAATGTTTTCTGGAATTTGCTTGTTAGCAATGTCTGTTCATTGACCCCCTGTGCCTGGAGCAGAACAAACTCTTGGGTCTTTTGTCCAAGCCCCCGGACATCTTAAGCTCTCCAGGATGTGTCTGGAAGAGCACTCTTCGTTCTGGGTTTCTCTCTGATTTTTACGACTGCCCATAAGCACTTCAGCCTCCCTACTTCTGGGAGATATCCAGGATGTAGACTGGGATCAATGTTGTATTCGTTTCCTGTTGCTGCCATAACAAATTACCACGAACTTAGTGACTTAACACAAATGTATTATGTTAAGCTCTGGAGGTCAGAAGTCTGGCGCGGACCTCACTGGGCTAAAATCAAGGTGTGGGCCGGGCTTTGTTCCTCTCTGGAGGCCCTGGGGGGGGCGGGGTGGGGTGGGGTGATCCGTTTCCTTGTCTTTTCCAGCTTCTAGAGGCCGCCTGCATTCCTTGGTGTGTGGCCCCTTCTTCCATCCTCAAAGCCAGCAACATCTCTGTCTCTGACTCTCTCTCCCCTTCTGCCCCACTCTTTCCCTTTCAAGGACCCTTATGATGACATTGGGCCCACCTGGATAATCCAAGAGAATCTTCCTATTTTAAGGTCAGCTGAGTAGCAACCTCAATTCTGTTTTGCCATGTAATGTAACATTCACAAGTTCTGGGGTTTAGAGTATGGACATCTTTGGGGACCCATTATGCAGTCTGCCACAAACATCTTTTCTAGTCTAGCATCACTGATACTTTTTGTAGGCAGGATGTGTTATTCTGTCATTTTCCTTCCTTCCATCCTTCCTTCATTTTGCAGATGTTTAGAGTGTTCTTTTTTAGTGGCCACAAACTGAAGCCTAACCACAAGTCTGAGGGATTGGGTATGTGCACAGGGTAGTACGAGCTTCCCCAGCTAAATCCTCAGGTCCCTCCCCACTCCCACCTCCAGCCGTATCTGCAGTCTCAGCAAAGGCCCAGCTGACCTGTGAAACTGGATCGTGGCACATTGGTGACTTAATTCGGGGGAACTGACAGTGCAGTGGTTCCACCCCTGCAAAGGGAGGGTCCAGCCCTCTGCCTTAAGTTAGTAATCCTGTCACTTGCCTTTCTGGGGAGCCCTGGTCATTTCCTCCACTCACTTCCACCCCAGCTTTAGCCATAGGAGAATGGAAAATGCTCCCTACAGCTGACCCGTGCCTCCCGGTGGCCTGTGTGCTAATGACTGTCGGGCGAGTCATCCAATCTCGTTGCTTTTCTTCAATCTCACTGCCATTTCCCTAGTAAGAGCCTGCATCACTTCTCACCTGGCTAACCACTACGGCTTTCTAACTGGTCTCTAGGATACCATCGCCTGATCCCAAACTAACTTGGAGTCTTATTTTCAACCCTTTCCCTACCTGAACCCTTAACTCTAGCTGGTTGGGACCACTTATAGTTCCTCCACTAAGCATTGCTGTTTTCAGCCTTCCCACCTTTGCGACTGCCCTCCCTTCTGCCTGCAAGTACCATCTTTCCTTTGCTTTGTCCTTGGAAGTACTACTTGCCCTTTAAGGTCTGCTCATTTCTGTCTTCAGAAAGCCTTCCCAAATGGCTCCAGCCACGGGGCCCTGAGCCCCAGCTTCACTGTCTCTGCCACACATTTGCCTCGTGGCATAGACTGCTTGGTATCATTACTTCTCACCACATCTTCCCTGCTGGCCTGAGCTTCTGGAGTGCAGCGACTGTCTTATTTATGGCTGAAGGCCCCTTCCCCAAATTATGCCTCGACAGTGTCCATCCAGCCAGTTGACTGACTGCTTACCCTACACTCATGTACCTGAGTGCTTCCCTGTGAGCTACAGGCATGCCCAGGAGGGCAGAGAGGAGGCTAGACATAGACATCAAGACAGGTGGCATTGGTTGGCACAGATCCCAGGCCAGGCTGGGAGAAGCAGGAAGTGCATCCCCGGAGCCTGGGCAGGGCTGGCTGTAATGATACGCTACAAACACACCCCGATCCTGATTATCTTGTTTATTGAAAAGTTTTAAGCAGAATTTTAGATGTAAAAATAAACATGAGCAAATACAGAGGTCTTGGGGACCACAGCCACAGTCACTACTGAGCTGGAGGCTTGGGCCAAGGCGCCATAGGGGCAGCTTCTGCTATGCTGTTTGCTTTCTGCTCCCTGCATACAGGGAAGGCCATTACTGCATTAGAAGGGCAGGGGGGCTCCGGGCAGCCAAGGTAAGAAGGGCCTGAAGGTAGCCACCCCTGAAGTGGCAGAATGGGGCTTGGCAGCTAAGGAGCAGCAATGGTGCAGACCCCAGAGCCAAGAGGGTGACTCCCTGGGAGACTGGGCAGTGCTGGGGCTGCCAGGGAATCCCAGGAGTGGGTGTCTGGGGAGCAAGGCTTTGGGGAGAGGGAGGAACCTGGAATGTGGGGGGAGTCAGGCTGCATGGCCCCCATCCTAGCCTCACAAGCCTGAGTAGGAGGCCTCTGTAGTCTCAGACCAGGATGAATCCCGGCGGGAAGACGGTGGCTGCCGCTGATGCCCTCTCTGGTCAGGGCGGCCCAGGCGCATAAGTAGCATCCACATACGCTCTCGGAACTTGACACCCACAAAGGCATAGAGCAGTGGGTTGAGGCAGCAGTGCATATAGCCCAGGCCTGAGGTGACAGACTTGGCCACATCCACGTGGCTTTCTCGGCCACAGTTGCGAGCCAAGGCCCCCAGGTCCATGAGGGTGTCCACCAGCACCACCAGGTGGTAGGGGGTCCAGCAGAGGGCAAAGGCCACAACTACCACCACCACTAGCCGCATGGCTCGCAGACGCCGCTGGCCCCTGGAGACCAGCAGCACAGCCAGGATGCGGGCATAGCAGTAGGCCATGACCAGCAGGGGCAGCAGGAAACCAGCAACCAGCTGCAGTACACGCAGAGCTGTGCGACCCACCTGCGGGAAGTCGTACTGGCAGTGGGTGGCATTGAGGCGCTCGTCACGGTGGGCTGACAGGAAGATGAAGTCTGGGAGGGCAAAGAGCAGACAGAGCCCCCAGACAACTACACAAGTGAGGGCCACGCGGGTTGGTGGCCCCCGGCGGTAGAGCTGGGTGGCATGCACTATGCTCAGGTACCGGTCAAAGCTGATGCAGGCCAGCAGGAGGGCCCCTGCATAGAAGTTGATGTTGAAGAGGGCACCTGCCACTTTGCAGAGGCCAGAGCCGAAGACCCACTGGACAGCAGCATCTACTGCCCAGAGCGGGAGGGTCAGCACCAGCAGTGCGTCAGCCACGGCCAGGTGGAGCAGGAAGGTGTCAGTGCTGCTCAGGGCCGCCCGCTGGCTCAGCAGCACAGCTGCCACTGCCCCATTGCCCAGCAGCCCCAGCACAAACAGGAGGCCATAGAGGGCAGGCAGGAAGGCCCGGTCAAAGTTCAGGCTGAAGTCCTGTGGGCAGGGTGGGGAGGCACAGCAGGAGTCGCTCTCGTTTTCTCCTAAGTAGTCATAGGAGGAGCTGCAGTTTTCCAGGAGGAAGGCAAGCTCAGTGTCTTGGAACACTTGATGTTCGCTGATCTGCAGAGGGAGGGAGGGAGGGCATGGACCGTATAAAGGCCTTACACTTCGAGATTTAGTCTGATGAGCCTTTCTCTGAGCCGCTCCTCTGTAAGGCAGGCCCGAGGCCCAGCCGGGGTCATACCCTGTGAGTGTCCCCGCCTTTCTTCCAAGGCCACGCCTCCCGAACGCCATCTGCCCAGACTGGGCGAAGGGATGGTAACGTCCCTCCTCAAAGGCTGCTTCTCTCACACCTTTCTGGGCCATCTCATTGGCCCCAGGATTGTGGGCCAAAGGAAGAGCTTCCCTCCTGTGCCAAAAGCCCTCCCCACTGCTCTCCTCTCTCTCCTTGCTCTTCCTTCACAGCTTGGCTGTCGTCTTCAGTTCCCGGCCATGCCTAGTTCCACTACTTTCCTCCTCAGGTGCCTCCCCACAGTCCCCTCTCCCAGTCACCGGCCCTCCTCTTCCCTCCTCAGCCCTTGTCCGGGGACCTCCAACTTCCTGGTCCCCCTGGGGCCCCTCTATGAATCACTGTGGGCCCCTCCAACACATGCTTTCTCCTTCTGTTCTTCCCCTCCCCTACCTCATGGCCTCCTACCCACTGGGGGCTCCCCACCAAGCTCTAGCAGAAATATTCCTCACCCCTTCCCCTGCAAACCACCCCAGAGCTGCAGGCCACCCCAGTGTCAATTCAGTCCAGCATGGAAGAGTCAAACTTTCAAGTCAGAGCTGAAGGGAGCCTTGGAGGCTGTCGGGGTGAGCCTCTACGGCAGGCATTTTGCTGATGAGGCACCAAAGCCAGAGAGGGGAGGGGACTCGCCCATGGTCATTCACAAGTCAGTGGCCAAGGTGGGTTCCCAGTTCCCCACGCAGTGCTCCTTCTACACAATCCCTGCATTCTCTACTTACTCAACCCTCTGCTGGCCCTGGCTTGTGGGCCAGCCCTGACGTCCCCTTAGTGTCCTGCGCTCTCCACTCCAAGCTGTGGTCTGGCGTGGCTGGGCAACAGCACTTACCTCAGGGACCATGGCTGGGTTGGTGCTCTAGCCGCCGGGCTGCGTGCTGCCTGCCCCTCTGCTTTGGTGCTTGTGGTTGGGAACTTACACTACACAGAGGAAGTGAGGGTTTCACGCGGTTCTCGGCAGCAGCCTCATCCATGGGGTTATCTACACCAGACCTCTAGACCCAAGGCCACGGGGTTCCAATCCCACCATGCCCCTGGCTGGGGGAAAGCTGCTCTGGAGGATCTGGCCACAAGCCTGGGACCAGAAAGGGTGGGGCCTAGGGAAGGGCAGGGTGTGTCTGGGCAGGGGCAGGTCGTTTTAGGGGGGAGGTTTGAAGGAGAAGCAGAGCAGCTGGGAGTGAAGGGCAGTCCTGCTGCCAGGGAAACAACTGCTTCTCCTGCACTTGGTACAGTCAATGCTTAAGAAATTGGAACTTGTGCTCATCTGTCCTGGGCTGGAGATGATCTTTGCATAATTGTAGACTGGATCGCTAAACGTGTTAAGTCTGTAAAGGAGATTAACATTCTTAAAACATCAAAATATTTTAAAGAAATCCATCACAGTAAATCTAGTCCTTTCTTACTGTCCCTCCCCGCTAATCAACAGGGGCAAGGAAAGGGGACTCCTGGTAATGAACCTGCCATGTCCTAGATGTTGCTCTAGGTGCTTTCCTTTCTCTGCCCCTGCCTCGTTGCCACCACACAGCTCCCTTGTGAGGTAGGGGCTACCCCACGGCAAAGCCAGAAAGGGGAAAGGCCTTCACCAGATGGAGCAAAGCAAGGGTGGGCGCTGAGCTCGAACCCCGGCTCTCTGACTCTCCTTTTACCACTCATCACACTGCCTTCATTTTTTTTAAATGGATAAACTATGATACATTCATGCAGTTGAAAACAAATGAACCAAAGCTATATATTTTAATATAGATCCATCTAGAAAAGCCAATGACCACATGGTGGAATAGGCAAGTTACAGAAAACTGTGTATAGTTTGACACCACTTATGTAAATTCTAAAAACCACACACAAAAAACAATACCATTTTGTTTTGGATACAGCTGTTTTTTGT